TTAGGTGCACTTCGTACTTACAGAAGGTAGGCGCCATTGGACTTGGTGAAAGACTACAAAAATGAAAGGTGTCGTCATCCCTGTTGGCGAATAAGAGGTGGCACGGGTTGCAGTGTAGGTGCAGGCTAGGTGATAGCCTTGGAGAAGGCATATCTGCATGCATGTAACACGATTAGACGTGATGGGAGGTGCCTTAGAGGTTGGAATGGGTTGCAGTGTAGGTGCAGGCTAGGTGACAACCTTGGAGAAGGCATCTCTGCATGCATGTAACACGATTGGACGTGAAGGTAGGCGTCATTGAACTTGGCGAAGGAGTACAAAAATGAAAGGTGTCGCCATCCCTATTGGTGAATAAGAGGTGGCATGGGTTGCAATGTAGGTGCAGGCTAGGTGACAACCTTGGAGAAGACATCTCTGCATGCATGTAACACGATTTGACGTGATGGGAGGCACCTTAGAGGTTGGAATGGGTTGCAGTGTAGGTGCAGGTTAGGTGACAACCTTGGAGAGTGCTTACTGTTGGTTTATTCAAATTCAGTACAACCTATTTAATCTTACATTTATCAAAACACTCCTACACTTAATCACTCAAACACTAGAACATTCAAAAATTCAAGCAATTAACTCACATACTTCAAACCTTCAAACCTTCAAACAATCATACACAATGGCCTCTACACCCCAATATGTGATCAGTGCACATTTCAACGGTGAGACATACATTTATCCCACCTCTGGGTTTTTGTTTAGAGACACTGAGAACATCTGATTTTGTTTAAACAAGAAAGCCAATTTCTTGTACTTCAAAAAACGATTAGAGGCCAAACTTGGACGAGGTCCCGTGACACAAATATTTTATCAGAATCTGTTTTTTTTTTTTGTAACAACCAAATAGTATTTTATAAGGTTGAGGTTCAAGATGACGATGACCTTCAAAATATGTTTTCCAGTCATGAGTATTCTGGGTACGACTCTATTGAGTTGTACTTTATGCTGCGAGAGCCTCAGCTGTCACAAGTGGTTGATCCTCTGGAGACCGAACAAGCAGAAGTAGATGTCGTTGATGAAGAAGAAGAAGATGACGAGTTGGAGTTTGACGACATGGTCAACGATGATTCCGAAGATGATGGGATACCTGGTATTCCTTCAAACGAGATCTACACACCACCTCCACACATGACAAACTTCAACATGGGCGGAGATGAACCATCTTCTGACTTATTTTTCAATCCGTATATGCAGTCGGATGAAAACTTAAAAGATAAAGACAAATTTCGTAACAGAGAAGAATGTATCTGAGCCATCAAAAAATTTCACATGCTTAACTCGGTCGATTTTAAGGTGGACCGTGTAAATCTAGAAAGGTACAAGATCAAGTGTGTCTACCCAGATTGTATGTTTAAGCTCACTGCATCATACAGATTAACAGGTGATTGTTGGGTCATAGGTTCCATGTTTACCCACACGTGTGTCAGTTCTACTCAATCACAGGATCATCGGAAACTAAATTATGATCTCATATGTCAAGAAATCCTATCACTCGTTAGCAATGATCCATCATTGAAGGTGAAAACCATAATCTCCCACATCACTATGGTATTTAACTATACACCGTCTTACCGAAAGGCGTGGTTAGCAAAGACTAAGGCGATTGAAAAGGTATATGGAAACTGGGAGGAGTCATACCAAGAACTTCCTCGCTACCTGGATGCACTCTAGACTTATTCTCCGGGTACTATTTACATTCTGGAAACAGTGTCAGCGTACGCCTCGGATGGTAGTCAACTCAACGGAAATGGAATATTCAGTCGAGTGTTTTGGGCTTTTCAACCTTGGATCACAGGGTTTGCGTCATGCAAACCAATTATACAAATTTATGAGACTTGGTTGTATGGGAAATACAAAGGCACACTACTGATGGTAGTTGCACAAGATGGCAACAACAACATTTTCCCAATTGCCTTTGCCCTAGTCGAGGGAGAGACTGGTGGTGCTTGGAGCTTTTTTCTCAAGAATCTTCGAACACACGTGGCTCCTCAACCAGATCTCTGTTTGATCTCTGATAGACATGCATCCGTTGAAAATGCATACAACAATCCTGAAAACGGTTGGCATGACCCTCCTTCTACGCATGTCTATTGCATTAGACATATCGTCCAAAATTTCACGAGGGAGATCAAAGACAAAGCTCTTAGGAAAGCGGTTATGAATGCGGGATATGCATTGACACAACCTACGTTCAAATATTATCGCAACGAGATCCGTTTGTCAAATCTGGACGCTGGTAGGTGGATCGATAATATTCCAGTAGAAAAATGGACTAGGTCATACGACAATGGACAAAGATGGGGCCACATGACAACAAATCTAATTGAATCGATAAACGGGGTATTCAAAGGCATACGAAACCTCCCAGTCACTGCTTTGGTTAAATCAACATATTTTAGGATGGCTTCGTTGTTTGCCAAAAGAGGTGAAATGTGGAATGCTGTGTTGCAATCTGGACAACTATGGAGTGAAAGTTGCATGAAGTACATTAAGGCAGAAAGTGCCAAAGCCAACACCCATCTAATTATTCGGTTTGACCGACACAGCCACAACTTCATTGTCAAAGAGACAATCGACCACAACGAGGGCCTGCCAAGATAAGAGTATAGGGTTATACTACCTTCTCGTTGGTGCGATTGTGGCAAGTTTCAAGCCTTTCGTATGCCTTGCTCTCATGTCATTTCTGTGTGTGCCTATACTCATCAAGACGCGCTACAACTTCTGTCTCCCATTTACAAATCTGAAACCTTGCTCAACGTATACAACAAAAGCTTCCCTTTGGTAGCAAAACCTGATTATTGGCCTGCATACGACGACGAAATAGTATGGCACAATGACCAAATGCGAAGGAATAAAAAGGGTCGTCCCAAAAGTAAGCGCATCACAACTGAAATGGACTCCCTTGACAAGCTGGAAAGAAAGTGTGGTTTATGTCGTCAGGTTGGACACAATCGCAAAAATTGTCCGAATCAGGCTACTGGCTCAACCACATAAAAATTGTATTACAAAACATCTTTCCTTTATTAAGTTGTAAACATTAGGGTTTTTCATTAACAGTATTTGTTACAATAAATATTGTGCGAACAAGAAATAAAATACGATAAACCGTCTACGAAATTACAACCGTTAAAATAATTTCATCTGACCCATGCATCATCAACATTACGTCGCTGTCTGTTTAACTTCCTCCAACCAAAAATTAGGTCTTCCTGTCGCAAGTGAGGTTATTGTTTGTCTTCGCTGGATCCTTCTAATTTGTTCCCCCTCCTCGATGTCTCCCTCTAGCCATCGCATCAACTCCCTTTTCAGACGCTCCATGGAGTGAATGTGCCAGAATTTCATTTTCATCGGAGGTTTTATGGCGGAGAAAATAACGTAACCATCTCTGGTAAAAATCATGGACGATGTCATGACGCACATAACAGAGAAAAAATAAAAGAACAATGCGAGAAAGTGTGAGGAATGACGGAGAAACAGACGAATTATTTATAAAAATTGCATTTTGCCCTAGGAGCCAAGTGAGATGGCGCCTCCTCTCACTTTTAAAGTGCATGCGCCATCTCACTTGGCTAAAAGAGAGAGGAGGCGCCAAGCGGGATGACGCCTAGGGCAAAATGGGGAGTGGATACGCCAACTGGGTTGGCTCCTCTCTTAAAGGATTTTCTGAAACATGGTTATTTGCGTAATTTTCTCCGAAACATTATTATTTGCGGAAAAAAATTAATACCTGATTATTCCAACAAAAAAATCGTAATAAAAGTGCAAAGTCATCAAAAGTGGTAGACGATTCATGTGTATGTTAGGTTTAACTTTTGAAAGAGGCAATGCAATTCTATTTTGGAATGATTTTGAAGTGTTTGATTTTTTTAAAAGAGAATTAATTCTACTTTTAAAATTAATTCTACTTTAAGTTATAATTTATAATTTTTGAATTCAAACGTGATTTTACACTTAAATTTGTTATTCAACTCACTTGTTTTACATAAATATACTCAAACATAAATCATTTTATATCACTTTTAAGCATAATCGATTTTGCAAAATCAATTCACTAAGAATTAGCTCTCCTCACTGCAGGATCAAACATAGGCAAAGTGACACGTCATAAAATGTTCATTTTTTGTAACAAATTTTATTAAAAGACTAAAGTTGTAATCGGTAAGATCAATTTAATATTAAAAATGCATACATAATGAATGTTAAAAATGTACAATTTAATGAATCGGAAGCTGCCTTTACCCTAAACGATATGATCCATAAATTTAAATCAGATGGACAAGATCAATTATTACAGGAAAGCAAATTTCTACACGTGCTCTTCCATTATGTATTTTGAGAACCCATAAAATAAAATAGTTGTGTTCAATATTTTTGTACCAACAAACTTCAGGGGATTGTAAACACAGTACTACATGCAAGGTAAACATGAGAACAATTTGTGTTTTTGTTTGCCACAAACTCTTGCAAAAACCACTCATATGCAACAAATGAGTAACTACTTTTTTTGCATAACACAAATAGTCACGGATTGATATTCCATGAAGAATGCCTTTCAACATCTGCAACGGTGAGCTATATATGTGCCAAACAGAGCTACATGCCAATGACTGAAAAATATTGGCATTAATAAACTTAAATCAATTAGACACTGAATTCAGCAATCATTTAAATTACAACAGTCGCGACATGAGTGCGAAAAGACCTGGGAAGGCAGTGGAAACAGTTCAAACCCAGAGTTTGCTAGTCGAAAAGGTCAAGATTGACACCAGATAAAGCAATAAAGTTACCTGCCAAAAAATTTATTGTCGAATACCATCACAATACTACACACTTTTCTCAATTCATTTTCTTTGATTACCCTACAACTTTATCGAAACTAAATATTATGCTCTTGAACTTCACACATTTTCTATGCAAGAAACGTATTGAATTCTTTACATCAACACCAGTGATCATGAGAAATAGCCTGGCTGAATGGGCATAGACTCCTCACATTGAGCTACAACAGCTTCCTCTGCTATGATCCAGCCATCGCAATTGGACCTCACTTGTTTGATCTCTTCACAACAACTCTGAGAAAATGAATACATAATAGCATAACAAGTTAGAATATAGATATAGGAGAATTAGCTAGGGAGTTAGTTCTTCATTTAGTTAGGATTATTTTCTATAAGTAAGGAGTGAATAGAGGAAACATTGTGAATAGAGTAGTGATTCTATTGTGAAAGGACAAAGAATAGTTATGTAACTAATTTTGGTATTTTAGATAAATTCTCAGTGGCAGAATACCAACCTCCGAACAAGTATATACGAGCAGGGTCATCCAATCCCAGTTTTCAACCATTTGCCTTTGGTTATCATCAAGTGCTTCCTGTAAAAAGTATAGTAATGGGGACATTAGTTGCATCTCAAATGTCCTCGGTCTTCCACAGAGCCTGCAACTTCCAGGGTTTATTTCACCGGCTACAGCTAAAATTGGTTTGCCACCATACGAGTATCTGCACAAAGGAGTAATAACAAAAGAATGTTATACAATGAGGGGAGGTAGTATAGCAGAGAGAAAAAGAAAGATATGATGCTATGGAAAAACATAATTGATAGCACGAATGCATGATTGATGTATGTATCAACAGAATCTTAGCCAGTATGATTCTCCACTCAACTAAAGGGAGCCACAAAGAGAACTGGAAGGAGAAACCAAATTCTCTCGAGCTTTCTCAACTCGCACGGATTCGTATATAACTTATATTACATGTTCATACTATGATTAGGTAAACGATGGACATATAAGATGTATTTAGCTCTATGGTAAGTTCACTTCAAAGCATAATTTGTTACATACCTGAAACACTGCTCAGGATACGCATCCAACCGCTTCTTGAACTTGAGGTAAGTTCTATCAGCAGTCAAGGCTTTATCATATTCATACTTTTCCTTTTCCCAGGTTTCATCACCTTGCAAACTATCCTCAACAGAATTTCCATTCTCCTTAATAGAAAGTGATGAATAGCTAGAGCAAACAGAACTAAGATCCCATGTAGATGATGGCTCTTCCTGTGTGTATATATAAAAGCAAGGCACCACTGAAAAAAATAAACCAATTTTAACACAAAACCGATAACGCCCTAAAAGTTAATCAGCATTTTCCAAATCATATTTTCTGTACCTGGAATATGATTATGATTGTGATTGTGATTGTGATTATGATTAAGTGAAGCTGTTGTAGAGAAATTGTGCTGTTGGCGCTTTTTCCATTGATTCTTGCTCTTAGATTTAGAATTAGAAGAAGCCAAAGCTCCAGCTTGAATGAGTGCATTGGCCAGATCTTCAAAACTCATCTCATCTTCACTTTCGTCTTCATCCTCCAAATTGAGAATTTGAACTTCGGTTGGTTGTTTATGTTGAGATGTATCAATGTCAGGAGTTTCAATTTTCTGAAGTCTAAGAACACGCCATGAGGTTGCTGCGCATTTGGGCGAAACGCAACCGAAGATGAAAAGAACGCGATGCTGATGATGAGATAGAGGAGCAAAAAGTTGTGCAACAAGGGAGAGATTATTGGCACATGTAGAACATTGAAGCAAATCGGAATTGATGGCGTCAATTGGAATTGGCCAATCCTGTTATCAATGTTAGAATGGAAGAGAGAATAGAGTTAGAGTTATAGAATTAGAATTTGAATGAGAAAATTGAAGATATGAATTACCGGGAGGCCTCCGATTTTGGTTGTAAAAGGATCAGATGGTTCGCGATAATCGTTGGCCCATGGTCCTGGCATTCCTAGCCATACTTTAGCCATTGTTAGTCTTGCTCAGGACAAAGCTCAATGTTGTTTTGTAACAAAACAGTTACAGTGGAGAGCACTTGCGGTGGCGCGTGAACAAACGAACGCCGACAAAGGGTTTTATGAAGGAGGAGGCGGAGGGATGAGGGGAGGACAGGCCGCGGGAAAAGGAGATAAGCTGAAACCAGCAAGCATAGGGGTTTAGGTTGGAGGGTAGTGTATTGTAATTTTAAATGATAGTGAGGGTAGTTTCGTATATACAGGAGTGTGATAGAAGATTTTTTCGAGAAATACACGTACATAAATCCCATATTCTTAAAGAGAATAAATCTATATTCTTAGAGACAATTAACAAGAACTGAAGAAATTTTAAATTTATTTAAAACTTAATTTATTTTTTAACTAATAAAGAAAATATAATTGATTGTTTTTAAATTTATTTGTTCTGTTTGTGTTTATGTAATTATTTTTTAATTTTTCATGGGTGCGAGTAGTTTTTTATTTTGAGCTTTCAATAAGAAAGACAAGAATATATATTTATTATTATTTTATATTATAATTTTAAATTTAATTTTTTTAAATAGAATTATAGAATAATAGTAAGAATAAATAGTTGAGATTTTATTTTTGTCTTTCATACTTTCTTATTAATAAATATTTTTATTTTATTTTTAACTTAAAAAAAATTATTTCAAAATTAAAATTTAAAAATAGTGAAGATAATTTTATATTAAATTTTGAAACATATTTTCACTTAAATTTCAAATTAAGGATTCATTTAGTTCAACGGAGGGAGGGGATGGAATGGAAGAGAATTTAATAAAAGAAACAAGGAAAAAAGAAAAGAGGAATTTTAATTAAATATATATTTGATTTAAAGAAATGGGAGAGAAACGGAGGAATATTTTACATATATGTTTGGTTTTATAGGAAGGAAAAGAATTTTAAAATTAAATTATATTTGTATCCTTGCAAATATTATCGCTTGTATTTATTAAAAACAATTATAAATAAAAATAGTTGGGTAAATTTTATCAAATAAAATTTTATAAGATGATCAAGCATAATGATCTAACATAAAATATTAAATGTTTAAAAACACATTAAAATTTAAACAAAATATTCAAAAAAATCATAAGATTATTAATCAATCAGATGAGTCAAAGACTATTTGCATTTATCACTACTTTGTCTACTTCAAGTGAACAATGGAGAATGTGAGGCAATAAATTTGTATCACATCCACACTCCCTTACTAAATTTCATGTTTCTTCCTCCTAAAATTGGACATAAAATCAAAAAAATAAAATAAAATCAAAGATCCAATGAAATAATAACAACCTAGACATATAGATTTTGATATAAAAAAATCAGAAAATGGAAAATCAACAAATCACCATAACATGAAATAGTAACAACGCACAACATACAAATTTTGAAGAAAACAAAACAAAAAGAAAATTCAAAATTCACCATTACAAAAAATAGTAACAAGGAACAACAATGTGAAATAAAAACAAAAACAAAAATCAACAATATATAGAATAATATGGAATAGAATAAAAAAAAAATAATAAAACTCACTTAAGAGCAACAACGTACAGGCAGTAGCTTTACAGTGGAAGATATAAGAAATGTGAGTTTTTTAATGAAAAACAACAAAGAAAATAACATAATCTTTAAAAATTCAATAAGGATAATTTTAGAATTAAAAAATAATAATTGATGATAAAATATGGGATATAATAAAATTATAATGAGTGAATCTTCCCTCCCCTCTAAATCTCCCTAATTTGGGAGGAGTAAAAACTGAATTTTACTCCCCTCCCCTCCTCTCCCTTTAAAAAAATGAACCAAAAAAATAATTTAAAAATATTCCCTACTCTCCAACCTCCTCCCCCCAACCAAACGAACTCTAAATCGATAGAATTTTAGAGAAAAGATATTTTAAAACTCTAAGTGTTTTATCCTCTTTCTCTCTCTCTCTCTCTCTCTCTCTCTCTTATGTTTTTGTCGTCACCTATCATTTCGCTTTCTCTTCTAAAATTCAAATACCATCAGAATCATATAGAGAGAAGCGATGGTGGTACGACGTTGTTATACTGCACCATCTTTTAGCCCCTCAAGGGTCATCGAACCTTTTGGGACATTTTTTTCACTTTTGTCGTTGATGTCTGGGTGGTTGTTCTTTATTTCAGCTCGGTGTCGTTGGCGTGTGGTTATTGGTTTCATAGTTCTTCTGGTGGTGCGACATGATCGTTAACACACCACACCTCCTACTCACTTCATCAGAATCTTCGTGATTTTCAAGTGGTTCTATCAGACTTTGTTTGTCCTCATTAATGTATTGAATTTGTTTGTCTTGAATTAATCCATTCGTTTTCACTATACTGAAACAATGTTGTTACTTCCTTTTTATGATATTAAACTCTCAATCAAAAGCTATAAGCCTTTAGAGGGAGGATGACGAAAATAATACCATAATCTCTATAGTGTGCTTTTAAACATACCTTGCTGACAATGTACAGGTGCTGTTTCAAATCTTAAATAGTGGAGTTATAAGGAAGATAATCCCTAGTCAACCCCTTTGAGCCTAAGAAGTAGGATTTTTCTTTTCACACAAATTTGAAACCTTTAATCATAACCTGGGGCAGGGTAGTTTCTCAGTTAATTCAAATGAGCATTCAGTCGCAAGCTTTCACTTTATAAACAGTTAATAGTATTGAAATCTTCCTTCTAAATCAAAAGATGGTGATGGTTCCCTGTAAAACAAGCAGTCATTATCTCTCAAAAAAGTCCAATAAGTCAAAACCTATGAAGAAGACTTAAGAAGAAAAACTGGGGCATCCCGCTGACTGTAATCATAGAAGAAAAATTTCAAGCAAAAGGTAGGGATATTAAAATCAAAAAGAGGTCACTACAAATCCTCAAAAACAGAAAAGTGTTACAAAAAATGACTGCCTTCTCAAATAAACTTCCAGTATTTGAACCATCACCAAAATATCATTCCAGACTCAATTAGAATTTAAATGCACGATTAACTGAGTATATGGATGAAGAACATCACAGAGAACGGGTTGGATACAAATAAAGTTTGAGCCTTTATCCTTTGTTTCTTAAACCATGAACCAGGCCACGTTACAACCCTTAAAAGTCCTAACTGAAGCATAGGTTAGTTTGAAAGCATACTGTTACAAAAGGTATCTTGACTCCTGTAAGGCTTACTATAAATCCTGAATTAAATTCATATTCTTACAAAATTATTTGGTTTATTAAAAATTCATTTTTAAAACTTCAAGACAGACATAAGCTTTGCATTTTTAACACCACTGGTTGCATATGACTAAGTGTTTGACAGCGGAGAAATTCGCATGACGAATATTCAATGAATGAAAATCCTCCCAATGGACAAAATTACTTCAGAAGATGGGTCAAAGAGAAAGACACTTCCAGTAACATACCTTTCATGGGAACAATTGGTTAAATCAAGGGGGATGACATGTTAGCGTCCAACTCATATGTGGCAGTCAAGTCGAGATTCAAATAATATCTCATAAAGTCTCGAATAGCCAAGAGCAGATCTTTATCTCAATCACTTGGGGCATTGAACATAAATTCTAGAAAAAGGTCACGTACGACCAAGCAAATATTTCCCGGTAGTGCTATAACACTTAATACTATGGACAGTGACAAATTCTATGCGCCCTAAAAACGCGGACAGGGTCGAAAAATACTACGCATGAAAAAAAGACCTGCTAGGTTGACTGGCCTAGGCAAAACTAAGGGCATCCCGGCGAACCAAAATACTTCGGGAAAAAATTAGGGATATATAAATAAAATTGTACACCCGGTAAGTCGGAAACCTTAAAAGGCGGCTTGGACAAAAAAGGGTATCCCGGTGGACTGAAAATCTGAAAAGACAGTACAAGCAAAAGTTAGAGATTAAAGCGTATGACTATGCCCCATTATCTCATCACTTGTCTATCAGTAGAAGACTTATCACCCTGATCAACATTCACCGAGGGCTCTAAAAGTTGAGATAATGTTCAAGTCTTCACAGATCCCCACAGAGCAGCTTCCACCGGATTAGCCCCACAGAGTAGCTTCCACAAAATTATCCCCAGAGTCATCTTCACAAGCTCATCTTCAACAGAGATACATTCCCCGACAGGTCTGATGTGCCTTCAAACAGAAAGTGGGGTGTGATCGGTGGATCTGGAACTGACTGTTTAAAGCTGGTTCGCGAAATGTCGCGGAAGCAAGAGTCGCCACCGTCTTTTATTTTCTCCAAATGGAAAGGACAAAAGCACAGAAAAATTCCTTAAAGAGATTGCTCTCGGTTCGGGAGGTAGATTATAGAAAGGGAAGGTGTTAGCACCCTTTCTATCCATGGTTATCCATGGGCTCTTAGATACTTGCTCATTTGTGTTTTCAAAATGGTTTGTTTTCTTTTCAACTGTGGGTTTTAAAAAGTTTCTTTGAAAATTTCAGTTCGACTCTTGTATCGGTCCTCAAGAGTGTTTGAAAAATTGCTTTCGAAAGCTTTTTGAAAAGGTGTCGGTGTGAAAAGTATTTTTTGATTTGTTTGAAATTTAGAGCAAGTATCTAGAGTCGTCTACCTACCCTATGGAATTCGTCTATGTAAATATCCTTTAAAGTAGTGACATCCCACCATTGAGAGGTAGGTAGCACCACCGTTGGAGGTGTTCGGGTCAATTCGAGGTTCGGGACATGGTGATCACCAGAGCAATGGGAAGACACCTTAGAAGCTACCCTCATGCCAGGCTCCCGGATCATGAGGACTTACTAAGACATCCTCTACTCGACGATCACCTTTCGAGGCAAGGCAACAGTGAGGTGTACCCTAGGGGTGGTGTGTGATTTATGTGTCATGTTCAGTTATTTTTGTCTTGTCATGTCATAGGTGATCTACGCGTTTGTTTTTATTTTTGTCATTCATTCTTGCATGCATTTATTAACAGTTAAAAAAGATGCGGAAATTAAAAGTTCTAAAC